GGTCCTACACTTGTAGAATTAGTGACTTCTCTAATTCATAATTGAGAATGTTCTGGCATTCGTGACAAAAGAGATTAAACTCTAACTTGTGTTGGAAGTTGGCAGAGAATACGATTGGTGCTATAATAATACTAACAGTCAACGAGTTGCATTGGTGACCGTAAAAAGTCAAATGTAAAAATCATTTTTGGACAAAGGGATTAACAAAGAGAAAAATGGCATTACCTGTAACGAGAGTATAACATTTACAGCATCATACAAGCCCTTGGTGTCTAATGGCTCCCCAACAGCTTCTGGCGGTAATTTTAATAATGCAAGAGATGCCTGTTTTCAGAAGGAAGTAAGATTCATCCATCAGTAAACAAACAAATAATGTAATTTCAATATTGCCCCACTGGCATACTTTTCTGGGACAATTAATAGTGACAAGAGTTAAAGAATTTTTTTTACAAAGTTAAATACGGAATACTAATTACTTTCAATCCCTCTGCAGTACAATCTGATATGGGCCATCCATGATCTGCAGTCGAGAAAGGCCAAGCTCCTTTAGAGATATGACGATACCAGCTGTCGAGATTTCCTGGGCAGTCATCTAATACCTTTGAATCAAATGAAATATTAGGAAAAGTATAAGAATTAAGATATGAGGGTCAAGTTTTGGCATGGTAAAAACCAATATTTGAAGATATTCCACCTGGGAGTTCTTTATGTATTCATGTGCTTTCCTCAAAGTTTTGCCATATTCTTTAACAAGGTCTGTAGAAATGATTGCTTGAACAGCAAATGCAGTGTCCCATAATTGGCTGCCATTATATCCCTGTATTATAATCTCAATTGTTTATTATATCATTACAAGAAGAGAAAATAGAAGCACAACTTCGTAAAAGAGTAAAAACTACAAGTCATAAAGTTTATGACAAGAGAGTGCTTTAAAGTGCCATAAAAATACTAGTCACTTTAAAACAATTGAAGATCATTTGCACTATTTCTTGACCTGCATTTTCATGCCATCTTCGGCAACCCAAATGTAATCGTAGAGCCTTGGTAGATGCAGTTTGAAAGCTTCTGAATTAGGATCTTCAACCCAGCAGCAAAGCATATTTAATACCTGCACATGAGAAGAAATAAAAACATTCCAAGCAAATTCTCTCAACACCCGTTACACTTTATGAAACCAGTAACCATGATAATGCTGACGATAATAGTGATCCGGGAAAACAAACGAGATATATGAGTTTCAATTCAATATCTTTTTCATATTTCCTACTTTTCAGGGGTTATAGCATATTCAGCCGCACATTGTTTGGCACTTAAAAAGTTGAATGTAGCACTATATGTTATGTTATATAAGTATAATATTCTGACTTGTTTTAGGATTATTCTCTTTTTTGTTTCACCTTTCTCGTGAGTGGTGGCCCCTTAACTGTTGAACCACCATCTCATGATTTCTAAGTTCTAATGACTTCAATCAATGCCTCCCACACTAGTAGAGCTTAAGGCCAAACCTTGTTCACAGGGCCAATGCATATGTATCTAGTGTTTTCATCTTCGTAATGTATATGCTCCATTACAGTGCGAAGAGCTTTATCTCTCAACTTGTTCACAGGCCAACACATCAAAACAGGTTCAACAAGCTTATCAAGGGCTGCCCACAGTATGTCCTGTACTACAGGATGAGGGTAAAAGAGATCTTCCTGCAGAAAGTACAATGTAATTAATAGGTGTGAATAAAAAACAAAACACTCCCTCTATCCCAAAAAACTTTACTCGCTTTCTCTTTTTGGACATACCAAATAAACTTCCTACTTTATTTGCTTTTTTAGTAATGAACATATTGCTCACAAGATTTCTCTTTCATCTAAACAAATTCTAATCATACACTTTTCACTTTTCAAAATTTTTCTTAAACTCTGTGGAAGTCAATTTAAATACGATTACGGAGTATAGTTTCTTGGGACGGAGGGAGTAGAAATTAAGATGAATCCCTTGCAACAGGGAAATAAGACTTTTTGTCTAACTCATGAACCATTGTACATGTAATTGATGCAAATTGGACCACTTGAGTACATTGTATACCACATGATTACAAGAGGATTTATCCTTTGGCAAGTAACGGTCTGAATGGCTGATAATGTTGAGATCTTTTATTTAGTACTCCCGCCGTCCCAAAATAAGGTTCCACACTTGACCGGGCATAATTAATTAAAATGAAAGCTTGTGGTTGAGTTTTGTGTTCAAGAATTTCGTGAACCACAAATTTCCTTCCTCAAAAGGAAAGAGGAACAATTGTGTGAACCATGCAATTCCTTACTCAAAACGAAAGAGGATGCCTCTTTTAAGACAAAAAAAAACAAAATGTGGAATCTTTTTAAGAATGAAGAGAGCAGAAGATTCTTGTTTTTCCATTTTTAGTTAAAATTTAGAAAAAAATTAACATCCATTGTTTTACAATTCCAAGGTCACTATTATAACTACTTATATCACTCTCACAAGATAACCTTTAAACTGAAAATAGGGCAATAAATTTAGTTATTAATGGGTAAGGTGCAAAGCCTTTGGCGTAAGGAGCCTCAAATAATGTTCCTTCAAAATGCCCATTTTTGATAAAGCAAACCGCTAGGCTAAACAAGAACATTGAGTATAAGATACAAGAAGCAAGCACATTGCGCAAACATCGAGCTATCAGATTCTTGTTCTTAAATAATCAGTCAAGATGGGGACATGGGGTATTATAGATTCTATAGAATCATGCGGCAAGAAAAACAATAAACAGTCAAAGTTTGTAGTCAGCTAGCCACAAGTGAGCACAACAACAGAAACAAACCCAGTAAATCCCAACTCTGTTGGTGCCTGGGGATTCGAGAAGTACACAACCTTTCCCCTCGTAAAAAAAAGAGAGGTTTCCGTTAGAACTTGATGCATTGCTACATTTACTGTCCAAAGTCTCATAAAAAATAAAAAACAGAAGTTTAGTGTCCTTTTGATTTAATCAATTAGTTACCGGAAGCTAAAACAATGTCAAAATTGTTCTTTCAACTCCATTGGCAATGAACGCTAGTCACTAAGAGCACCGGAATTACAAATGGGCAAATTAGCAAGAATAAATTCTAAGCACTAATGGAAGATTTGAGTAAAAGCTTAACAAACCTTTGCACATTGGTTTCGTGCCTGGTCCCAGTTAATTTCATGATAAGGGATTGGGAACAGCTCCTTCCTCAAAGATAAAACTGTTGGTGTAACTGGACCAACAAATCTTTTACCATACAAGTAGGACATAGGCAGATAAACCATCCTACAGTGGCACCACATTCTTCCTGTAAAATTAGTGGAAACGTTTATTCTAACAACACAAAACTCATATATTTATGTAACTCCTAGCAATTATCCCTAGCGTGTTCCGAGATGTGCATGTAGGCTTTACAATATCAACTTTGCAAGAACCATGACTACAACTATTTTTACTCATCACCATCTCGTGAATAATTTTCATGCAAGTGGATGAAAGTCATGAAATGTATGATGATGATGGTTTTGGAACTTTATTTCATTATTCCTTCTTTAGAAGGTTGCAACATGAAGGGCATCAATCATAAAATTTTGCCACTAATCCCATTATGCTTTTTTGCAGGAACTTAGCGTTAATTAATACGGAGAATTCGGAGAATTAAATAACTGACACTATAGATTTCATTTTACCGACCCCAATGTAGTGGAGATTAAAGTGATGATGATGATGATGACATGACAGTATTTATTACTCCCTCCATCCCGCTATATTCGTCTACTTTTGACTTTTGGAACTGTTCATCTAAGCACTTTGACTCATCCAATTCTCTCAATGTGTTAGCCTAAATATAGTCATGTGTGATCTTGTTTGATTTGTCTTAACATATAGATTATTAATATATAATTTCTATAATTTTTTAATATACAAATTACAAGATAAAATGGATTAAAGAAGTGTATTGGATGATGTGTAAAAATGAAAGTGGACAAATACTCTGGGACGGAGGTAGTAAACAAATAATCACAGTCACGGAAGCTAATAGAAAAAATAACAATTTTCACTAAAGGTGCATGCCATACAGTAAAAAATTGTGGCCATATCGATACAAGTATAAATCATTTGCAAGATAATGGACCATCATAAATATGGCAAAAATGGCCCATATAGAAAAGTCGTTGCACTTTTCCATTGGTATCAATGACAATTATACAAAGAATGAACATTGTAGGAAAAACAAAGCAAATGAACCATCTCTTTCTTAATGCATCAAGCCTCGAAGATTATTTTCTTTTTAAATTTGGAAACATGTGTTTATACTATCATCATTTTTACTTAACAGTTTTTCATATTTAGTGGTTCTAAAATATGTTGAGTAACAAGTACTTGCAATGAGCATCTAATGGACTAATGGATTGAAAGAGCATTTAGTTTACAGATATACAAAGGGGGGCAAAGAACAAATTGAAAAACTAATAAAATAGCAATTTTGCAAGAAAACATATTGAGCAATAACCTGGATGGATTGGAAGAATATAGGGAAGAAGCCATATCTCTGGAGGAAGGGGGTTATTTCCAGACCATTCAAATACACCAAGCACCTAGTAGAACAAAGTCCAAATTTTATAATAGGAGTTGTACTAGAATAAAAGAGTAAACAAGAAAGAAAGTTGAAAATACTGAACTGAGAGCCACATTTTCCCCCACGATGTTATATAAGTAGCACCACCACGATCCAAAATCCATTTCTGACCCTTCTCCATTGCTCCACCTCCATCATTAGCTCCCTCTCCAAGCAGCCTTAAGGTAACATAGCTCAAAACAGAACCCAACATGGTACTATGGCTTTCAATATGCAAACCCCAGCCACCATCACTATTCTGTGATTCAATTAATACAATTATTACAATGAACAACTCATCGTTAAATGAAAAGGCCCCACAGAAATGCAGTTATCTTGAAGCCATTACACAATACTTGCCTGGTGATTGTAAAGATAACGGCACATCTCGCGTCTATGTTCTTTCGATAACACTGTATTCAATGCACCAGTGATAGAAAGAGCAATGACCTGTTCCATCAGGTTGGGATTTAAAAAAAATATCACGTTATAAACAGCTCACTCTTGCTCCCAACATAAGAGAATATCAACTTATGCATATATACACACACATACATTGTGTTCTTTTTATTGGGATTATACACACACACACACACATATTCTCACCATAGGAATTACATAAGATTGTCTCTATAGAATCAACAACTATGCACCTTCAAATAAACAACAAAAAAAAGTATGCACTGACCAAACCCGGCATTAGAAACATTGGACCTCCATAATCTCCTGGCCAATGACCATCATCAGCTTGTATACTTGAGTAGAAAGTCAATGATCTTTTCAGGGTAGTAGTTACTTTATCTATTGTAACATCTTCATTGTCCTTTACTGTTACTTGTGGTAACAGTGTACTTATGGGATTCTCCTTAGCAAACTAAAATCAAAGAAAAAAAGAAGGTTAGCAAATACGGAATAGTAGGATACACGATTTAAAAAATGACTAAATTGTATACAAATACAGCCGAATCATTTATAACTGGTGTGTTCTAAAATGGTTAGCTCCACGCAGGACCCCATCAAGAAGCTAGACATTTGCTTAGCAGCTTACAGTTTATCCATGCCTGCTGACTGGGGTAGGTCTAGAGCTTTTTAGACCATTGTTTACAACTTTGTAGGATTAAAAGAAGAAGAAGAAGAAGAAAGCAATTAACAGAGCTGATTTTTCAGTAAAACGGTTACTACATTGTTCATCGGAGCAAAACTATTGAGGCACAGGGCAGGGAATGATGTTCAACCATTGATTTCCCGATCAGATGCGAGATTAAAATGAGGCAAAAGCGAAACAGCAAAAAATATACTAAAAGCGGAACAAATAAATCGCTCTACCTGATGACGCATGAGAAGATCCCAACTGTGTTTCTGTTGGAATCTGTTATTGCGGAAATTCTGACGGAACTTTTCGATCTCCTCTAAGTCTTCCGGAGTGCCTAGGCTTGGATCGAACTCCCAAACCTGCCGGCCGGCGTGGCCGTTCAGCGTCCGCAGCCATGGGCTCCCGCCTTCCGCCGTCTTCAGCTTCCACATTCTTCTCCAGTATCGGCTTGAGAGTTTAGACTGCCAGCAACAACATGCACATAAATGAGCAAAAACGGAGTAAATGACATCTACTTGCTTGTACAAAATTAATGATTTTCAACCATTAGAACATCTCCAATGGAGCCTTCATAGTTTAAAAAGTAGAAATTTTAGACTTCACTATTCTTAATAATGGGCTCCAACGGGTCCTTCAAAAAATAGAGAAGTATTTATTTTTCACTTTACACATGCTATATATAAATGATCAAAAGTTATCAGCTATAATAAAATATTAATAAAATTAAATACGGTAACCAATTGAGAGGAGAGAGAAATGCTAACATCCACACAAAGCAAAGAAATAAAAAAGTAAAACATATTAAATTTATATGGAAGAGGGAGAGTAGCAGCTATGGTTGGAGCACATACCAAAATAAGAACATCCAAATCACTGTATATGTTCTAAAATATGTTTATGGCTGCCCATTTTTAGCATCTCCATTGGAAATGCTCTTAGTGTTATTTTAAGAAATCTAGCTGTGTTAGGACTCATGAGTGCAAATTATAGAGTAGAGTAGAATGTATAGTAGATAACCTTCTAATTAAAAATGTCTCAATGAATAAACACATTAATGTGAGCATATTTGGAATTAACACTATATTGCTTCAGAAATGAATATTACGTTGCTTCATAATAAATACTATAATGAATTAAAATAAATATTTGTTCGATGCACCTAGTTCTAGATACATTCACACGTATAATATAAGCTCTCGTGTTAAGAAAGAAAGTATCAAAATAATGTAACATACATTGTATATTGATATCTCATAATATTTTTTTGTATTGCAAAATCATGTGATCTTAAAATAATGTTAATTACAAATTTGTATAAAAAGAAAAATATATTTTACATATTTAAGAATTATGAGTAGATACCTTTTTATTCTTAGACCAGATCTGTTATCGCAATTGTGGGTGAGATGATCAATTATAATTCATGAACAATTAACAATCCATATAGAAATGGGTGGCATATTGAAATCCTAGATGCATGAAGCCCTTCGCTTTGCCGCACTAGCCGTCTCGGGGGCTTTTTCTTTTCAACGCTTCGTTTGTTGTGCCAACCTACACGCTACGTACTCTTTCTAGCGTAGGAAAAAATGGTGTAGATGAAGTATAAAATTAAATGGGTTAAATATGTTTTTAGTTTGTGTGAAATATTGTATCTGTCTCAAAAAACACTCTTTATTTATTTCTTAAGACGTTTAAAAAATCATCTTTCGTTTTATGAAATTTTTTGAATGTCAAATCAAACAATGACCCTTTTTTGAGGAGGAAGGGAGTATTCTATAAGCGGTTTTTGTTATTGGTCTCTATAAAAAATTTGTTAAGTCATCCTTACAAAATTGTTTATTTTGAAAGTGGTCCCTAAATATTGTTAGCATTTCTTATTTGTTGACATAATACATGAATTTCATGCTCAACATTCTAATATTGCATTTTTAATTATTACGGGCACAATTCTCGTGCAATATAATTAATATAACTTTGTTGAAAATGGTCATTAAACATAACTTGCACTTTTTATTTTGTTGGAATGACACATTTATTGTACTAAATATTTTAGTCTTGTATTTCTGTCACCTCCGACATAATTCTCATGCTCTAAGTTGTGTTCATACTCATATTGCTTCTTCAATTCCTAACACTATGTTTGGTTTACGGAATTTGGTAGGAAAAGAAATGAAATTGATTTTTCATCACCAAAATGAGAGAAATTTGGTTTTTCTTTCTCATAGTACATTTGTCTTCTCTCTTTTTTTCTTCCATTTTTCTTTTCTTTTACTTGATAACCAAACAAGAAAAATTATTTTATTCTCATTTTCTCTTTATTTCCTTCACAAATTCCTTGAACATAGTATAAATGGCTAAATCTTTTGGGAATATAGTATAACATAATTTGAAAATTGAAAATGTAATTCAATGAAGGACATGATCTATTGCATGAGAATTGTGTCACATCTTAATTAGAGATATAGGAGTGGGATAATAAACATAAAATAAATGTGTTATGTCAACAAATAAAAAAATGCTAACAATGTTTAAAGATTTTTTTCAAGAATTTTTTATTAGAAAAGTGCACCTTTTACCCCTAGATTATTCAAAAATTGCACGGTTTACGCTTAAACATTAAAAAATGTACTAAATATCATTGAATTCTTCAAAAATTATATGATTTATCCCTGAACATTAAAAAATGCCCCAAATATCACCGAACTCTTTGAAAACTACATGGTTTGCTCTTGAGAATTTAAATAAATACGATAATTTTGGAGAAGGGTAGTCTCTGAAAAATTCATAAGGCTAGATAAATCATACGTAGTATTTGTAATTCTCGTGCGTGGGAGCAACACACTTCCTATCTAGCATTTTAGGATGAATGGTGCAATGATTTAAATTGTTCAGTGATATTTGGTGCACTCTTTAATGTTCATGGATAAATCACGTAATTTTCAAAGAGTTCAAAATTAAACAATATACTTTTTGATATTCAATGCATTGTTCAAAAAGTTAGAAGGTAAACAATGCATTTTCTCTGAAAAATTTATAAGGGTCCGTTTGGTATATTGAATTGATGGAATTGTAATTGAATTGGAATTGAAATTCCATGAGATTCAATTCCATAGAATTGAATTCACCAATTCCAATTCATTTTTTGCACTATCAATTCCAAATCCACATAATTTTTGTTCTACCAAACATCAGAATTAGAATTGAAGTCCTCAATTCCAATACTACACTTTGAATTCCGTGGCCTAAAGATCACTACGGACTGAAAACGTATTTAAACCATTTCATTTTGTACTCTCTCGGCTCTATTTCAGCGGGGCAATGGTTGTTGAAGAAGTAGCGTCCACCACCGGAGACGTCAGCGCGGCAAAGCTAAGGGCTTAGCGCAGCCACTATTTCGGTATGCCGCCCATTTCTATAAGGATTATTCACTGTTCATGAATCATGAATCGCAATTGATGCATCCTACCCGATAACAGATCTCGTCTTAGAATAAAACCTTCAAATCAAACCACACAAACCAGTAGAAGTTGAAATTACACAACGATAGGAGATGATGGATGGGCATCATCCAACGAAAAGAAACTTAGAACATAGAACATAGTTAGTCAGTTGCTTTCAGTTATCACACATTCAATACATCATAGACTGTCTGAATGCTGCTGCTTTTATAAATCTGCGTTATCTGATCTCCCAACGAGGAACTGGAACAGTCACATGATGATGATGATGATGATGATGATGATGATGATACTGTTTCTGAAGCAGTAGATTCATGAATGGAGATTCTTCATCAGCTCCGCTTCAGTATGAAATACTCCTTAGATTATAATGTCTGTAAATGGATTCATAATATGCCAGAGTAATTCAGATCTGATTGATTTGAAGACACATACTGTTAAATATAGTATGTATATATTTAATATTAATGTAGTAATCCTTGTACACATGGTAGGTTTCCTTGTATAGTTACCTTCCGTAGTTAGGACTCTACTGTATCTATTTATACGAGGCTTAGCCCTCCGTTGTTAATCACAGAAATTAATAATTCTTCATGGTATCAGAGCTTTTCTCACGTTCCAACGAACGTCGCTGCAAACCCTAGCAGCCCTCTCCTCTCTCCCTCACCGTATTTGGATTTCATTTAATTGTTGGAGGAGCATATTTACCTGAGATTGTATCAATTGCAGGCTTGGATGAATCTGCTGGGTGGGAACAAATTCGTGTTTTGCCTCAGATGGGGTTCGCATTTGGGAATTGGTGAGATCGTTTCGAAGGCTTCAACTAGCAATGCCACCTTCTTTCTGCGAACAGGGCCAAGCTTGCTTACTGCTTGTTGGAGTGCGTAGTCAATCATCCATTCCTCCGAGTTCTTTCTTTCATTCATCATTTGGTGCTTGAGATCAACACTTTCAGCTTCTGGAACAGGCTTCAGGGGGAGGAAATTTGGGCCTCGTGGATTGAAATCTCTCGGTTCGTCCTCCTCAATGAGCAGCCTATTGTGGCCTCTGGATGTTCTTCTCAAGCTGGGAGGCACTTCAATGCCTGCATTTTGTTCTTCAGGCACTTTTGATGTCTTCTGTGTTTTTATATTGGAAGACCATTCATTCTCCACATTGTAAATCTGTTGATCACTGACATTCTCTGGGGGCTTCTGGATTCCATCTTCACTGGTTTCAATTGATTCGTCTTGAGTTGCTTCTTCTGATTCACTACTAGTTGTATCACACTGGTTTGGAACAGCATTCTTTCCGTGTGGATCCTTAGATTCTTGATGATTTTCTTGCATTGGAGTCATCACATCATCTTCTTGGAGTATCACTTTCTCCTCGTAAGGAACTGAAAAATCCTTGCAGATTTCTTCTTCTGTCAGCTCATCCGAAACAAGGAAGCGTGTTTGAGTGGTTTCTTTCTCATCTTCATTATGGGTGGCTGGTTGATTATCACAACCTTTGAAATCAGACCCCAAGCAAGAAATGGAGGAATTTGAATCTTCACCACTTAAAGAACATGCTTCGGAGGTCACACTTTCTTCATCAAATGATTCTTGCTCCATCTTTTCTGCAACAAAATCATCAGAGCTGCAACTGGCTTTGTCTTCCGCCTTCAATAGTGAGATGGGTTCTTTTATAACATCACAGGCCTTCACATCTATACAATCCACTTCAAGATCAGGTTCTTCGATGTGATTGGTCGATTCAACTATCCCCTCCCAGTCCATATCCGATTCTCCTGCACTTGAATAATCTATTACAGGGAAGAGATCTCCCTTCTCTTCCACCTCTTCCTGAGCACCATTGAAGCAATGGGTAGGCTCAGAAGGACCAATTTGAGGTGAACTGTCCAAGCTGCAATTCTTTGCCGTTTCTGCCCCTTCTTTGCAGTATATTTCAACGGTAAAGTCCAATTTCTCTTGTTGCCAATTTGGAACATCTTCGGCAAGGCTCACTCCAGTGGGCCTTGCTGGACAGGGAGAAGAACATCCTTTTCTCAAGTTCCTATTTGCTTTCATAGACAGTCTCCTTGCTGACAAGAAGCTCTTCAACGGAGGTAATTGAAGATGGTGATGACCGTTGAGAGAGCAGTAAGTATAAGGGCAGACCTTCATTGCAGAAGTAGTGTCGCCAGGATTAAGTTCCAGGTAACATGGAAACTTCGAATCCTTCAATGTCGAAGAGCAAGTAGCTCTCTGTACATCTAAACCACTCTCGCAGAAGACAACCTGAGGACATTTCTTGGAAGAAGAAACCCTAGCTGGTTTAAAACTAGGAGCTTTTGTCAAAGCCCTCACAAGTTTCAAACTTGTAGTCGTCTTAGTGCTAGTTAAACCAGTTCTTGAGGGGTTATGGCCACCTGACTTTGACATTCTTGTGGTGTTTTTGCACTTAGAAGAAGAAACAGACTGTGGGCTTCTGGAACTCACCTGACACTTATCTTTCCTTGCATCTGAACTGCTGGTAGACTTCATGTAATTCGGGGTCGAGCTCGAAGAAGCCCCCAAATGCGTCTGCGGCGATGGCGAGTTCCTTTGGTGGGGCCGCACGCTTTCAAGCTCAGAAAGCTTTGGTTTGCCAGATTTCTTCTTCTTCATCATCTTCTTCTTCAGGTCAGTTCCTATGCTGCTTTTCAAATCTTGGTGTTGATGCAAATTTGATGCTTCTAGAGAAAGCATTAGCTTGTTATTGACCTTTCTTGAATGATGATGAAGATCAGCTGGGTGGATCCCAAGCTTATCAGGAACCTTTCTTTGCACCATATTTGATTCTTGAAAATGACTCTTTCTGGAGTTTTACTTCAAGACAGGGCCAAGAAAGGGAGGGTTTTCATTGAATCTCCAAAAAAAAACAAGAAATCCCAAGATTAGACAATGGGGAGATGGTTGTTTACAAGCGTCTGATTTGAATATATTTCTGAAAAAAAGGGGGGCTGGGAGATAAGTTTGGATGATACCCGAATAACCGACCCTGGCGAATAGCGACCAAAAAAAGTTAGGTGGTGGGGCCATGCATTTGATGGATTTTGAATTATTTGTAGCACCTCGCACTGTCCCATTTCCATTGTGTCTGGGAGGAGTTGAGGTACTATTGTTTCACTTGATGATCATTAAGTTATTTTCAATTTAATTAAAAAACATCCTCTTTCTATTAATATGCAAAAGTATGGTCTCTTTTAAATTGATTTTATTTACATATTGATAAATGAATAAATAGTACAAATTATATATTTAAAGATTACATCAAAAGTCTAGAAAATAAGTAGTGACAAGAAAAGGCCCGTAATAGTAACTCGGCCAATTCTTTTTGGGACGGGAGGATTACTCTGTATATGAGAATTGAAACGAAATTAAAAAATGAAATTTATATCGTATCATGTTATCAAATCAGTAGTAAATATAGATAAAGAAAGATATATAATAATGTTTAATACTCTATTAGATTGATTTACTATTTTGGTACGATTTTAGGACTAAAATTACTCCATTGGTAACATTTTTTTTAGTTGGGATGGTATAAAAAATGGGATGGTAATAATGTGCTTTGAGGGTTAAAAACTATTTTTATTCTAAGAAAATCTATCAACAAAATTTAAATTGTTTGACGCCTGGATATTTTGTACTCGCACGTTCTTACTCAATAAGCATTTTGTTAATATATTTAAATAAAATGGTTTTGTAAAAATTATAAATTGAGTTTTAATTTAGTAATTTAAGAGTAATATTAATTGAGTTGAAGATGTTTAAAAAAAATTTGAAAATATATTTCTCAATTCGGTATCAAGTTGGTTCAATTTGGAACAATGTCGGATCAATGATAATTTTGAAAAATGCTACGGGTACACCAAAGGTGTACCCCAAATATCCCCCACCCCCTCCTTGTCCATTAAAAAAGGCAAAAAAATTTAAAAAAAAATAAGTAAATAAAAATCAAATAAAAATGTATGGAGGAAAAGAGGGTGGTGTACATTTGGAGTACACCTTTTGGTGTACCCCTAGCATTAATCGATAATTTTTGTACACCTTTAGATTATTCGTAGAATTAGAAAATGGAGGATTTCCCTTTGTTGCGTTTTTTTGTACATTACTACTATACTTCGTTCGTTTGAAAAAAATTGCAATTAATATTTTTCTGTTGAGCTGTTTAGTAGACCTGGCAAAAAAGAAATCGACATGATTTTGACCCGAGACCGACCCGAAAATTCCGGGTTTTAAACAAAGGTTTTGCTGAGCGAATTCGAAGTTGACCGAACCTGGAATTACCCGTTAGAAATAGCTCAAACTTGACCGAATCTGAACCTGACCTGACCGACCCGCTAATGTAAGAATTTTTCAAAATCATAAGCTTTAATACTACGGGGTATGTAATATAATGTTATAAAAATAAGATTTTAAATATACTCTCTCCGTCCCAAAATATTTACAACATTTGCTTTTTCAGCAGTCGCGAGAAACTTTTGTTTATTCCTACGTTTTCATTGGTTATTTGATAAAATAAAATATTCTTGATATTTCTTATTTTGAAGAACTTTTCATATAGTTTTTTGATATGTAAATTTTATTTTTTATTTCTATACCAATATGTAAATAAAATGAATTAAAAAAAACTTAATATTTTTACCTTGTAAATACAAGTGTGGCAAATAGTTAGGGAGGAAAGAGTATTTCTTTACTTATTACTCGTTATTGATGTAAAAGTCTTAAACAAGTGAGACTAGGGGTGAGCATGGTACGGTATGGTACGGTATTTAGCCCGTACCGATACCGTACCAAATATTTCGGTTCGGTATGGGATTTTACACCGTACCGATCCCGATCCCGACATATCGGTTCGGTGTGGTTTGGGATGGTTCGGTATCGATTTCGGTACAAATCGAGATGAATATACATACCTACTTTACACCTTAAAGTTTAACAATGCCCTTTATTTTTGAAAATTAAAAGTGCATTTAAATAAAAAAAACGTGAAAAATTAAAAAAAATGAATATTTAAATGCAAGGGATGCATATCAAAACATAGTTTATATTTCACAAACTAAAAAAATGAACGACAACAAAGGGTTTTTCGAATCTTTGTGAAAACTTTTATGTTTATACACAAAAACTAAAACTCAAATAAAAGTATAACTTACACATGATAAAACTTGAACCAATTTTTTTTAAAAATTACCCCGTATTATTTAGTGAAGGAATATGAAAAATATTACTCTGGGGTATATATTATTTTTTACTCCCTCCGTCCCGGAGTATTCGTCCAATTTTGACTTTTGGAACTGTTCATCTAAGCACTTTGACTCATCAAATTCTCTCAATGTGTAAGCCTAAATATAGTCATGTATGATCTTGTTTGATTTGTCTTACCATATAGATTATTAATATATAATTTCTATAATTTTTTAATATACAAATTATAAGATAAAATAGATTAAAGAAATGTGTTGGATGGTGTGTAAAAATGAAAGTGGACAAATACTCTGGGACGGAGGTAGTATAATATTTTAGTATATATGTTCGGTTCGGGATTTTCGGTATGGTACGTCACCTCGTACCGTTTCCAAATACCGTACCGACCATTCGGTTCGGTACGGTTCGGTTTCTTCTCGGTACTTTTCGGTTCGGTATTCTCGGTTTTTTCGGGAAATTTCGGTTTTGCTAACCCTAAGTGAGACTGATGCAAGAAGGTTTGAGTGGGAATATATACTGTGACAAAAGATTAAAGTGGTCGGCACGCTTTGGTAAAGGAAAGCGATTACTCCATATATGAACATGGGTGGGTGGGTGGGCCCAGACGCTCCTCACGCTCCCCTCTATTGCCTTTACAACTACACTCTTCTCAAAAAAGGGAAAGTCAAACTCCCGTTCCTACACATTTGATCCCCACCTAAACCCAAAAATAACTCAATTTCCCAATTTTTTAAAAAATGATAAGTTTCATCTTCGAAGGTCCATTCAGAAAGGATTGGATAGTGATATGAGATTGAGTAAATTTTTTAACTCTATACCATTTGTCATATAAAATGATTTGAAAATAATTTCAGTCAAACATCGTAAACCAAAACAGGCGTTATAAAATGGGACGGAAGGAGTATTATAAATTGAAAAGTAAATTTTTATTATTTTTGTGTTCTTTTATTAAAATAAGTGTTATAAAATAAAAGAAAAAGTGAAAGGAAAAGGGGCAGAGGCGGACCCACGTTGAGTCCCACAGGGTCCCGGGACCCCACGGTCCTCCACGTAGGATCTTATATATGTTAGGTATATAATAAAAAATCCAACATGTAAATGAACATCGAAGCAATGCAGTGGAGGCGCCGCTGAAACATGAGCAAAGTATATTTATTTATAATATAAATTTAATATAATTGGTGTTCAACTTAGAATATAATTTTGATCTATCAAATTTTTATATCATTTATCTATATATATTATGTTTACTTTAGAATCAAAGAATATCACTGTTTGATTAAAAAAATTAAAACAGGAAAGATTTATAGGACATAAGGGAGTAATAATTTAGAGGGAGGTTCTCATGACATTAGGAACCAATGTCATGGAACAAAGTGATAATTTATCTACAAAAGAAATTGACTATATATTTCTTCGCACAATAATATTTTGACTGTACATAAGGCCCAGACATAAGAAACTCTGAGGTGACGAGCAATGCAAGCCAAGCAATCGATAATCAAGAACAAAGGATCTAAAGCTTAGGTTTTGGGCTCATACGAGAAATAGATACTTCCTCGGTCCCTAAATATTTGTCACACTTGTATTTCCGAAGCAAAATATCAAGTTTTTTCAATTCATTTTATTAACATATTGGTATAGAAATAAAAAATAAAATTTACATATCAAAAAACTACTTGAAAAGTTCTTCGAAATAAGAGGTGTCAAGAATATTTTATTTTATCAAATAACCAATAAAAACGTAGAAATAAACAAAAGTTCCTGCGACTGCTCAAAAAGAAAACGTTGCAAATATTTTGGGACGGAGGAAGTAAGAAAAGAAGAACAACAAAAAGCAGAGAAAGTTTGCTTGGAACTTGGAATTCCTTTGGAAGGGTGCCGTGGTGGGAACCTGGACCGCGCCCGATCTTACAAGGAGATCAATCTAAAAATCTCTGAATAGCTCTTTTCATATACAAAACCAAGGAATAATATATACAGATTTAGTTGAAGCAAGCAAGGGATAATATATACTCCCAGTGAACCAAGGAGACCATTATAGTAGTTTCAGTATTGTGTGTGACCCATCTATAAATTTGGAAAGCCAAGAACATCAAGTGCTCACATACCCTTTTGTATAGCAATGAGTAGGACGATAAAAATGGGGGAAACAAGGAAGAAGATATAGGGGAGAACTTGACCTAGTCCGCCTTCATCAACTTCGCCTCCTTTAAGAGGGTAATTGGGTGTGTCCTTTATGAAAGCATCGAAGTAACTTTGGTAGTCCGTGCCCGCTGCAGAAGTGGTTGTTGTAGCCTTCATCATTTTCATTGCCTGCAATCGTCCAAATCAAAACACTAGTTGTCTTTTGCCATTCAGGACTGTTCTATTTTTAGTTCAGCAACACAGTATAAACCCAACCCCGTCGGGGTCTGGGGGTCAATGTGCACATAGTCTTATATCTGTAAAAACAGAGAGCCTGTTTCTGTTAGACCCAGGATGAATTGCTGCATTTAATGTCCAAAAAACACTTCATGTTCCTTTTATCTTAGAGTAGCCCAAACATGGGTTTGCATGTTTTTATATTTGTTCGATGTAGGATGACTTTGCAGTTAGCATGTGCTTGGTCGGGATTTAATCGAGATTATGCAGGGATATCTAAATGGGAAGGCATCCTAGGGGACTTTTACAGCATTGGGTTCACTATCTTCAGAGATTTGATTTAGTAACTAAATTACCTCAAAGCTGTATACAAAAATCCGTGCTTTTTTGCGCACTTGAACACTAGGATGTGACTGAAGTTTTTCATACATGGTTCGAGCTTCGTCTGGTCTGCCAATAACTTGTTGGTTATGATTTCTTTAACTACAAAAAATTATAATTAGATCCAAAAGAAGACGAGAAATGATTATGTGCATGCCTTTGGAGTGAATCTTGACAGATAGACCACTGCAAAGCAGCACGTCCATGAAGTTCATTCTGCAGAGAATTCAAATGAATAGAAAAAAATAGGGGGAAAAGGTAGAAGCAAAAACACAAGTTCAGCATTTTAAGAGCTTATTCGTAGTTACCCGGAATGGCATTCCATCCATTACTTTTGTATAAAATGGTATTGCTTCTCTCAGCTTCCCAAGTTCCATCAATGAGTCACCTTCACTCAATGCCTAGGCACAACAGTGCTATAATTAAGAAGTTAAATGCAATGACTCAATTCAATGATTCATACAAGAATGAAGTGTGATAATACCATATCAGGTGAAAAAAATTCTTCAGTTGCATCATAAATTTCATGTAAACTAATCTTTCCTATTTATAGTTTAGTTTTCCTAATATCTTGATTAAAATCTAGCTTCCCGGATCAACTTCCCAATTTCTCAATTGCAGTTTTACTTTAAAATTTGCAGGGCAATTTAGCCACTGATGCAGCGATGCATTTGAAGAAAGCATCAAGGCAGAAAGTATTCTTGAATTATACGGACACAATCATATATACTCTGTAGTAAAACAAGAATTATCTTCACTAGAAGGCAGCACATGGAGCAACTAAATTGTTACTACCTCCAACCCATAAAAATCTTGCTAGTTTGACTTCAACAGAGTTTTAAAAAAATGTTGAAAAATAAAAAAAGTGTGGTCAGAATTTGTTGAGAGAATTTTTTAAGCCACATATGCTTTTTCAGTTTTTCTTATAAAAGGAACAAGTGTTTTTTGGACGGACAAAAAACGAACAAGTGAAGATCTTTGCAGGATGAAGAAGCATATTATATTTCCAAGTAAAAGAAAGGGAAATTGAAAATACCTTTTCATATTCAAGTTTAAGCTTTGGATCAACATACAAGCCTGCCTTTTTATCATAGGCAGCAAGAAGCTCTCTCATTCGTGCATCTTTAGCTGCTTTCTCCTCTGCTGTTTCAAGTGCCTCGCCAGGTTTAATAATTCTTCCACCACCAAACTACAAACAAAAAAAGTATAACAAGGTTGGAAACAAGCCTTTGAACATTAAACAGAACAAAAGATTCATCAATCAATATAATCCTTTGTGAGAATTTCAAGTTTCCAGTCTATGCTTTTATTTTGTGCATCAATAAGAATTTCACAACCATGCAATGGAAGTAGTCATGGGACTTCAAAAATAAGTACTTGTTCTTCCTCCATCATCTCCGATGGAGCCAAAAATTCACTATTTTTTGGCTTTAGGGTGCGATGGAATAAAACAAAATGGATCTCTAAACTGTCTGCGCTTCTTTAATTAATGAAGTAGCAGTTAGTCAACCAATACAACTTTCGACACTGAGCCGGGGGTCTCTTTGGAAACAGCCTCTCTACCTTCGAGTAGGGGTAAGGTTTGCGTACACACACCCTCCCCAGACCCTGCTGGGGATTCAACTGGGTTGTTGTTGTTGTTGCTGCTGCTATTGAAAGTGTATGTATTTATGGTGAGTGTAATTTGGGTGTTACTTTTCATTTTATCCTTGCCTTATGAAGGTAGAAATGTAGAATAGAGCATGATGGGTGGATTCATAATGAATAGGTATGATGTGATAAGTAAGTTAATAATTAATAGATGCAAATAAGTGCTTTTAATTGAAAGAGGAAGAGCTTTTTTTGGGATGGATGAAAAGGGAAAAAGGAAATGTTGTGTGAGACGGAGTAAAATATAGATAGAAAGAGACAGTTGGACTGTTAATGCATCTAGCAATGCTTAATTACTTATCTACCTCAGCCGTCCACCGAAATATTTTGCATTAAATGTCCTTTGCATTCTTAGCCGAAATTCAAATTCAAAATAAAATAGTGGGTTCAAAAAGCATTGCAGGTGATCGTTGTGTGATATTGAATCTCTAGTCCTTCGTGCTCATTTAGTCATTAGTCATTAGTAATATTGCATTTAAACAACTTACAGTTTTAGAAATGTTGTTAGGTCTGGGGAAAACACCCCATGTGGAGACCTTTGGCTTGTACACATCCATTCTATCATCTTGAACCGGTTTAGGCTCTGTTGCATTTCCAAACTTACTAGAATCCCCAACTAGAATTTCAACCTCTGGAAACTTGCCGTCAGGGAAGGGGTTCGGCATTGGAACTAGCCCGGATGGCACTTGCTTCCCCTGCTTTTTATCAGAAAAATCAATACTAGAAACTGTAAATTCTTCCTTTTTAGTTTCTTTCCTTTTGGGTAAACTACTCACAAGATCCATCAGTACCTCCTTGTCATTAGGCCCTGGCACATAAAAACACACGTTTACCCCTCAATTCTGGGAAAATAATAAAGGAGTCTCTAATTTTTAACAAGAGAATGCCGCAAATTAGTACAAACACAGAAACATTTTGGTTGAAAATGTTTGCTTCACACTAACGGTTGTTCTATAGAATTAAGAAAACATTGTACACTAATTTCTCATTTTTTTGTCCTCCATCTCAATTTTCATTTAAAGTACTAAGTAACATTTCCAACTTCTAAGATTGAATACGGAGCATTTAACAAGGGTAGTTAAGCATTGCTGTAAAAGCCGTTACAAGATGCTTTTGTAAATTCAGCATCCGGTCATTCAAGTCCAATAGCTCTTACCAAACTGATCCTCACAGTTATTGTGAAACAGAGAGATTACAATTTACAAAGCATAAAAACATACACAATTAACAAGATGCCTTTTTTTAAAACCAAATACTACTTGAAAGCATCAAGAATCGTAGAAGGGTTTATTTGGTTCACTTATGTGTAGCAGGGTTTATTTGGTTCACCTATGTGTAGTAGGCAGGTATGGGTTGGGAAATCTCAAATCAATACTTCTCCTCCATACCCATTCCCTAAACCCCTCAAACCTATTATTCCCTATCAGATCCGGTATCGAACTCATTCCCACATCGTTGCTTCTTCTATCGCTGTCCCAAGACTACATCAGCCATGGTAACATGACAACAACCAAAGCTCCAACCTCAAACAACCAATCATCAAAGAGAACCAAACCATACTTTTCTCTAATTTTATCCCCCACCCTCAATCTCAATCAATGGTACTTACATTCATACCTTCTTACCCAAACAGCCCCTAATTTTAAAAATAAAAATGCTTCCTCTGGTTGTCTACTTTCTAAAATAGCTCATATTCAAAGAATGAATGACAAATGAGTCCTAGAAATGAATTCATCAGACAAAGAAGTTCTACAAAACAATATTGTATGAGAAAATAGGCAAAAAATCAAACTTTGACGAGTGACAAAAAAATTCTTTTTTAGGACTAAGGACGGTTATGAGAAATGTACAACTAATTTCAAACAATCGAAATGGAATTAAAACAGAGGGAATAATAAAGTAAAATAAATCAAAACTGAAAAATCAAAAGGTAGAAATAATCCAGATCTGTAAACCTGTGGCTGTGCCCCTAACTTTTTTGTTCATCTTATACTCCTTTGCTCTCTGGAATGCAAGTTTGACTGCAGAGGGCACCTCCCGTTCCCCCCTAACATACGCACCTTCCTCCTTCGACCCACCACTGCGATCTTCGATCTCTGCAGATCCTGGAACATTCGGCCTCAGAGGAATCTCAGGAACTGGACTGGTTCCAACTGCTTTCTTGTACGCCTTGGCTCTGGCGAACGCAAGCTTCACAGCATCGAGCTTTCCAGATTGGGGAGCTGGCTCTTCTTCTTCTTCTTCTTCTGGATTGGGCGATGGAGATCTCGGAGAAGCCGAGACGGTTAGAGTCTTGGATTTCAGGTGGGAGATAATGGTAGGGTTCCTGAGATAAACGAAAGCTGGGAATTGGGGAGCTGTGGCCATTGTCACTTCTATTAACTCCTATCTGGTGATAGGTATAATCCCTTTGCAACTTTTATGACCATCGGGCGTGGAACTCATAATTTTAACAACCATAACAAGTAGTACAAACACAAAATGTTACTCCCTCCATTCCACAAAACTCTTCCTCTTTCGTTTTTTTTGTTTTTCACAAAACACTTTCACTTTCTATTAAAAAACCACTTTTACCCCTACTTTTCCATACCCTATCTATCACATCATACTTTTTCACTAATAATCAAACTATCACATCTTACTTTTTCCTATCACATCAGGGGCAAAATTGGAAAGTCAACCAAAATTACACTTTTCTTATTTTCCCCCAAAGTCAAAACCGGAAGGGTTTTGTGGAACGGAGGTAGTAGTTTACAAAAAAAATACACTGAAATTTTCTGTCAATGTAAAACATCACACTAGTATTGAATATAAGTGTGTCTTTAAGATACAAAAATGAGGTACAAGTTTTGGTATACAAATAGATTAGTGTCAGGTGAGTTTTTCTTTTTCACAATTTTCTTTTTATTTTTATTTTTTAATGAATATTACTTAAACTAACATATAAATAAATATTTCATTAATATTAAATTTTAAAATACATATAAAAAAAGTGTATATTGTAAATTACTTCATACGTCCCAAACTAAATTGTATACGGAGTATTTACTATTCACATTGTAAAACTTTATTTATTTTCTTACTCTCATTTGTCATTCGATAAAATAATACTCTTTGTAGATCTTTTAATATGATTTTTAAATATATATAATTTTATTTTTTTAATTCTACACTATTTTTTCATGTAAAATGTTTTGAAAATAACTTCAATATTTTTAAATATATAATTTTATTTTTTAATTCTACACTATTTTTTCATGTAAAATGTTTTAAAAATAACATCAATCAAATATCGTAAATCGAAACAAACAATTTGAATTGGGACGAAGGGAGTACTACTTTAGCCAAATAAAGAGTTTGAAAGCCTTTTTGTACTCTTTTTTACTAATGTATCTTTGGCATTTTGTGACATATTGTTTGGAAAGGCCCTTTTAAAGCTTTATTGTAAATTCTTTTATTAATGTATTTTTGGCTTTGACATTTTGTGGACTTGTGAGTGTGGATACATGTTTCGTACTCCCTCCGTCCCAAAAAGTCCGACACGTTTCGAAAAAATTACGTCCCGTAAAATCCGTTACATTTCTATTAAAAAACCACTTTTACCCCTTACTTTTTCATACTCTACCTATCACATCATACTTTTTTCTTAATAATCTACCCATCACATCCTACTTTTACCCAACACATCAAAGGTATTTTTGGAAAGTTAATACTAAAATATCTCTTCCTTAATTTTCCAAAAAGTCAATATGTACCAATCTTCTTGGGTACTATATCCATGTCTCAAAACCGAGGCTTTGGTTTCTCATCTACACGATGAACATGAATCAAAAAATAAATTCATAATCATAATTAAATGTTATATATAAAAAAGTTAAGAAGATTTGAATATGTTAGAGAGGAGAGATGAATTTCAGAAGAGTGAGAGAGTGAAAGTGAGCTGCGGCGTTAGGTTAGAACAACATTAAGGAGGGGGGTTGTTTTATTTTTTGGGCTAGAGGGCTGGGGTATTGGGCTGGGGTAAATGGTTTGAGTTAGAAATTTATATTACCTCTGTCCCCGAATATTTGTCCAGTTTTGACTTTGCCCGATCAACTATTTTCAGCCTTTTACCTTTAATTAAATAAAACATATGGTAGGCGTGTCGTAGCACCTACAAATTAATTTATTATTTTCCTTAACTTTTAACCCCCTTTTTGAAATAATATTCTTTAAAACATATAGATAGGGCAAGTAAGGATCGATCCCACGAAGAAAGATATTTTTTAGGCTATGAAAATCGGTTTACTTTATCATTTTATATTGAGTGAAAACAACTACTAAAATCTATAAACTAACTTAAAAGATAGGGGGGGTTTGAAAAAGTGTTTTCTAAATAAAGTAAAAAAACTAACTAAAGTGACACACCACACCAGAACTAATCTCAAAACAAACCAAGGATAAAAACAGAACATAACTCCACCAAAAAGCCCAAACGAAGAAGACAAGCGCACATAACACAATAATTTAGACACTTAAACAATTTTAGAAAACCAACAAAATGTTTTATATTATAGAAAATAAATATCTAGGATCAAAACTTTGTTAAAAACTAGCATAATCATCAACCAACTATAAATTAAAACAAGGGTTCGGCTGAAAAAGAGGTCCACCAACGGTTCTTTCCTATTTTACCATTCATAAAAGCTCATGTTAGGACCAACCCTAACTCTAAACCCTACTACCCTTAGCAACCCAAAGACCAACCCTTAGATTACTACTAAGAATAGTGCATTAAGATTTGTGGAAAACATCACCGTAACAATTTTGCAGTAACACGAAGGTTATTTAACAAAATCAGTTTGAGAACCTTGATTAGCAAAAACCACTTAACGAGGCAGCCTAGGTTAATCTAGTGACACTTGGTTTCTAGAAAAGTTTGGCTATTTAAAGCACTTTGGACTTTAAAAGAATATCATTTTAAATTGGATTAGGTCGCGATCCTAATTTGACCCAACTTAAGTAAAATCAATTGAAAAGTAGTTCTCAAACACCTTTGAAATAACTTAAAAGTAGCAAAAACTGGAATTATTTTAAGAGTATTAACTTGAAGTAAATGTTTAAACCCATAGACAGATTTAATTTTAAGCAACAAGATTCAATACTTCTTCCAAAAATTCTGGTTTCATATGTGTTTTCTCTAACAAAATTAGCCCTTGAGTACCACAAGAATAAGGTATACTTTCAAAAAGTATGCTTCTCGATTAAACTCCAGATTTGTTGATTTTGCAGACTCAATTTTTGAAGTCATTGTTTAGTTTTTAGGGACAGTAAAGTGCAGGTTCATTTTACTGCACAGAGTATTAAGTAGCAGCACTAAATGGAGTAAAAGAACTCAAGCAAGTGACAATACGAATATATCCCTTACCAAACAAACTTTGGTTTCAACATAAAAATTGATGAAAGTATGAAATTCTTGGTGGAAATAAAAAAACCATACTCTAATTGTACTCAAAATTCTCAACAAATAAAAACCAATTCTGATTTAAAACAAACTTGAGAACTGAAGCAACAGGCTCAACAAAAAATGTAAAAAAACAAGAAAATTTGGAAGAAGATGGGAACGAAGGGGGTTTTGGGTACAAGACCCGAACCCCCTAGGTTTCTTACACTTTGGATTGAGCTCTAATTCTAGTTCTTGATGGTGGTGGTGATGTTCTTCGCAGCCCTCCCTCAATTTATAGGTGCTCTTCGTCTCTTCCGTCTTCGATCAGGACTTCCTTGTGCGCTGCAATTCTTGCTGCGGATTCTCCGGCTACAGTCATGCTTGAAGAGGCCGAATTGCAGTAGGAGAGGGGGTCTTCGGCACTTCTATCTCACACGACTTTTCTCGCTTCTTTGTACGGTTATTTTTCCAGTGTTTATCAATTGGGGGTCTTTGAGGAAGAAGAAGAAAAAAAGCTTTTGGATAAGGCCTTCAAGTCAGAGACTAGCCCAAACATTATATTTCCCCTTTCTTTTATTTGTCTTCAGCTTTTTTTTTCTCGGAAGCCCATCAGCATCACTTGATATCTTCAAGTCGTTTTTATGCTCCAAAGATATATCTAATAACCTTTGTCAAGGAGAATATGGGTCCACAACAATAATATTCAAAAATAAACTGAAAAGTGTGCATTATGAACATATTTTATAAACAATGCCTAGAATGCAAATATGATCATTTAAGTGTAAAAA